AGAGAGAGAGAGAGAGAGACAGAGAGAAAGAGAGAGAGAGAGATGATATCAAGGTGACAGGCTGGAGGCCAGTCAGGGTGGGCATTTGATCTCAATCCTCCCATTCTCCTTATCGCCCACAGGGCGGTCGTATAGGTATGTGTTGGGGTGTCGTGGGGAGCCCCAGGAGGGCCTCTTGGAGGCGGTTTGGGCGCCTCTTGGGGGCCTCCTGGGGCTTCGTGGGGTATTTTGTGGGCCTCTTCGAGGCATCTTCTGCGCGTCTTGGGCGCCTGCTGGGGCCTCGTTGGGCCTCCTGGCGGCCTTTTGGGGCCTCCTGGGTTTTTTTTCGGGGCGCAACTATCCACTGTGCGGTTCGTGGTCCCCCGCTTGGGCCGTTTTGGGCGCTTCTTGGGCCATGTCGAGGCCCTCTTGGGCCGTCTTGGGGCCTTCTTGGGGCCGTACTTGGCGGTCTCTAGGGCGATCTTGGGAGCTTCTTGAGCCGTTTTGGAGCGTCGGGATACCAAACATACGAGAAGACCGAAATCCTTCAAACACCTGAGTTACATCTACAATTTTGGCCTCTTGGGGCTCTTTCGGGAGGCCTCTTGGAACGCTGTAGGGGCCTCTTTGGGCCCTCGTGGGCCGTCTTGGAACCACCTTCGGGCGCCTTGGAGCTTTCCTGGCTTCGGCAATGCGAATATGGCGTAATTTGTTGAGCTTCGGGGGCGCGAATTCGGCATAGTTCAAAAGGGTTTGTTGCCCCGGGGACGCAACCATTGCGCAGTATACAAGGGATTGTGGCCTCGGGGATGCGGATATGGTGTAATCTGCACGGGTTCATCGCCCCTGGAACGCGAACGCGACATATTTTACAATGGTTCATGGCTTCGGGGGCGCGAGTCGAATGTATTTCGAAGTGTCCCACGACCCCCCAAGCATACTGAGGATGTGATTCGGGCGTGGTAACCGGGCGGTTTGGGGCTCCCCCCTCGCGCGGACAGTAACAGTTTGCAGCAAGAGGCAGAAAGTGAAATTATCACGACGGGAACTGGAACCTTCATCTGGAGCAGGGAGCAACAAGCTTGAACCTCGCAGCCTGATGGCCCCGCAAGGGGGCCGGCGGATACATCTCAACTGTTCCCTGGCACGGCCCTTCCTGGGCCCAAGGGCTGTGTGTGCGGCCTCCCTGCCAAGCCAGTAGGGCGTCGCGTGTGCACCGCTGCTGGGTTCAGGATGGGCCTGGCCAGCCAGCAGTGGATACGTACGTCTTGGTTTCGTCGCCCTACGCGGCGGGCCTCAGTACACCCACCGTGCCTGGCCAGGGCCATCCTGGGCCCCAGGACGGTGTAGAATGGACCGCCTGGCCTCGGCCAGGAGGGCGGGCGCAAGCACTGTCCCAGGGCCCAGGATGGCCACGGCCAGGCACAGCGATGGTGTGCAGATGCCCTCCTGCCCAGACCTCCGGAGCCGGCTTGGTCAGAGGGCAGGGAGGGAAACGTACCCATACTGCTACCCTTCCTTCGTTTTCGCCTCATTGGGCCTCCCGGGAGGCCCTCGTCGCCACCGCTGGATCCGCCCCGAAGTTCTGGTCAGAACGCCCCCCCCGGAGAGGTCCGGGGAGGAGCGGCATCGGCATTTGTTGGTTACCCAAGTTGATTTCCCCCGAAGTCACGACCAGTTCCCCACGCCGCGGTTTCTCATATCGACGTTCTTTGGTCCCGAAGAGGGCCCCTGAGGCCGAATTCAAATGTCCAACAGCTTCGCTTTGATCTTTTCATGACGTCGGATGTCTGGAATCTGGGGCTTACAACTCGATCCGCTGACGTCTACTGTGATGCTCTCTGGTCAGAGTTTCGAGGCAAGTCCAGCTGTGTCGAGGAGGAGGCCCAGAAGGGGCGAAGAACGCTCCTAAGTCTTTGTCCTCGATCCTCCCCGGACATCTGGCGTCCTGGAGACGCAGGCCCCCGGCCTCTTGACCACTTCCCCAGGACCTGCTTCTCACTCCGGGCCGGTCTTCGACGGCCCCCAAAGGGTTGGCAGGGATCCCGAGAGGCCGGAAACGGTGGAAGACCTTCGCCCCGATTTTGGCGAGACGTCGGATGCCTGGCTCGAACCTCCGCCTCCCTTCTCTGGGTAGTCGAAGGCCAGACTGGCAGATTGGATTGGGCCCCGAGGGCCACTCTGGCCTGGCCAAATCGGAGGATTTGGGTTGTTCGCCAGACTGGATTCTCGTGGGCTCCCGCGCCAGATTGCCCCCGTTTGCCAGATTGGGCCTGCCAGATTGGCGCCAGACTGGCTTCGACTGCCCCGCTTCTGCCGCGTAAACGTTGGGCTTCCCGGGCCCTGCGCGAGGCACGACGACGCCCGGCTCGAGCTCGCAGCGGGGCGCTGGCCCTCGGGCGAGCGGCTCGAGTTGGCCGCGCCGCCACGGGCCGCGTTCGCGTTCGAGGGCCTGCGAGACATCCTCGGAGGGCGCCAGCTGCCCCGACGTGCGGACGACACGTAAGGCACCACCCACCGAGCCACCCCAGCCCAACCCGAATCGGGTATGGCCAGGACCCCAGGTAAGGGGACCCGGTTAGTAGTAGGGCCCCGGAGCCCCTAAGTTGGCCAGAATCACTAGTCCAGGCCTGCCGTAGCTGGTGTTTTCTTCGGGTGACGGCAGTTCCTGTTAGTGGAACGGGCAGGGGGGGCGTCCCCCAGTACACATCATTAAACCAGGTCCCACTAAACCCACTTCTGCCAAAGCCCGACCGAAGGCCTCAATTTGACTTCCATTTCCAGTGAGGGGCGGCGCGCGAGGAACGTTGGACAAACACACATGGAACCTTTCCCCCCAAACCCGAAGTTCGGGCGGAGTTCGGGTCTTCGGGTTGGGTTGGGGTGGTCTGGTAGGTAGTCAGTAGAAGAGTGGACCTTCGCCAGAGTGACCCTTGGTGCGGGCTCCTTGGGGCCCCCCGATCGGTGAGCTCGATGCGATAGCAGCGGCCTGCGCGCTTGGGTTCGGCCCCCTCGAGCCCCCAAAGCCGCGCGTCAAAGGTCACTCTTGCCCAAGATCACTCTTGCGTCTAGCCGGACTTAGGGCGTCGTGGACAAAGTGGCAAACAGTGACGCACCGTTGTGATACGAATCTATAACAAAAATTTGGAGGTCCACGCGGACTTCTCGGATCGGCGCTGGACCCCCTCCCTGGCGCGCGGATGAGCGCGGACCTCCGAGCTTCCATGTTTATGTCATTTTTTTATTTCCCTAGTGAAGCAGAAAAGCGTGGCTGGGGTCGACGGAGAGATTGCCAGCCATTCCCAGACACTGCCTGACGGCGCCGGCGCGAAGCGTGCCATGACCAAGGGGGTGGGGGGGTGCGGGGCCGAATACGGGCGTTATCGCGAATGATGAGAGAAGTGCTTCCTACCCTGGTTTGGGTCGTCGGGGCACAAAAAATCATGACGAGCAGCGACAACATCTTCGGGAGGCGTCGTGAACAAATCAAGACGTCTTGTTGTTGCTCTCCTTTTCGGCTTCCGGGCGGCCCCGCGCTAGGCCCGTGATCTGTTGTATCAACATTGCTCGGGATGGGACGCCTGTCGCCTGGAAGGGGTCCAGACGTTTGGGGATCCACGATGCTGCGACATCACGAGTTCTGAGGTTTGGATACCCAGATTCCCGGCGATTTGTTTGTTTGTTCAATTTGGACGTCTTACTGAGTTTCGGCAGCAGGTGGCGCTCTCGGACCCTGGGGTTTTCAAGTGTGGGTCCAGGACCCGCAGTGAACGGGTGCGGCAGCGGGTTGAAACGTCGCATTCTCGGATGGATGTCTGGGCATACACATACCCAAACATCCGACGTCGTTGTGTTTGTCACAATACGTCTCCCCAGAGTTGTGAACCCCCTTCCCCGGGACTGGCCGTTCATCCCGAGTCGATCTTTGACGGTCCCAGGACCCAGCGAGGTCCCCCAGATGCCGCACAATGGCCCAATAATGTCCATGTTTTTTTTGGTGGGTCACAGCGCGAAGAGAACTGAAGGGGCCAGCCAGGGCCCAGGATAGGTGTATACGACCTTCGACTTAGCTTGTCTCGGATGGCGCTACACCCAACCCAGACCCTCGACGTCAATAATTTGTTCATTACGTCGACCCCCAGAGCTCTCGACCCTTTCCCCGGGACCGGTTTTGCGTCCCGAGTCGTTTGGTGACGGTCCAGCTGCCCGGTGAGGGCCCATATAGAGGCCGAACATGTAGAAACATCTCCCGTCAGGGTTTTTGTCATTGCCCGAGGGGTCTGGGAATCTGGGCCCAGGATCGGCCTGGCTAGGATCGGTGCAGGTGTATCGTTGACGCCCTCCGGCATCCGCATCGGTTCCTGCCCAGCGCTCACGAGCCTGCCGCCGGAGATAGGCCTCTGCAGGATCTCGCCGTGTTGGGAAGGGGTCTTCATGAGAATTGACGTTTTTTGTTCGTGACTCTTTCTGGGCCTCCTCGTCGCCACGATTGGATGCGCTTCGAAGTTTTATGAGGCTTGAGGCCCAGATCGTAGACCTCCAGCGTTTTCCGCGCGAGATGTGGCTGTGCAGGGCGCGCTCTCGAAGTTTCCTTCCTCGGGATGCGTTGCAGTAGCTTCGCCTCGCCAGAGGTAAAGGAAAGGGGTCCTGAGGGGAACCTGGAAGGCGGATCCTTCTCGCTGTTTTCGGCCTTTGTGGGCCAAGCTCGGGCGGAGCGCACCGTGGGAGGGGGGGGGTGCCATCGACCCGAAAAAGCCACGGCACCTCCGAAATTCGATGCTGCTTAGGCTCGCGCCGTGGTCGACGCGGCGGCGACCCCAGCGTGGGCGTTCAAGGTGAGTCGGGCGTGTCCCCCTACAGGAGGATTTTCGACGAGAAATAAAACATATCCAAGACATTCTCCAAAATGGTAAAACAATAAAACTACTAAAAAAATTGTCCCCAGTCTATTTTTTGATTATTTTTGAATATTCCCCCTGTAGAGGGACAGGCACGACTTAAGCCAAGGATGGGCTGACATCGAACGATCCGCACCATCGGATAGCCCCGGTCGTTCAAGGCGGACCGACCCGCGCGGGTGCCGTGTGCCAGCGCAGAAGCGTCGCGGCAGGAGCCCGCCGCAGGCCTTCTTGGCATGCCCCTCCCGAGGACCTGCACCACGCTCGCGGTGATGTCGTGCTCCCTGGAGGTTGGGGGCGGCCGAAGCTCGGGGGCGGCAAAGAGGGGGTGATGACTGGGGGGGGTGGATATCATGGCGTGGGCCATGATATTTCCCCAGATCTCATGTCGCCTCTTCTTATTTCATTACGTCCCTGCCCCCCCCTGGGCCGCGCACGTGCCGCTGGTCATGCTTTGCGCCCCCCCTTTTGGACACCCCCCTCTTGGCCGACCCCGAGAAGCCCAGACCTGCGCGCGTCGCGGAAAAGTCTGGACGGCACAAGTCGTTTCTGCCGTTTCTCGGCCTCTGGGGGTACCCGCCTGGCCCCCCGGATCGCGAGACAACGGCTCGGGAGCAACAGTCACGGGCGAAATGGTCGGGATTTCCGGGATTTGCGTGCATGGAAAAAACCAGGACATCGCATGTTTGGGAGGGGGTGTGATTGGGAAAGGGGAAGGGTTCAGAGCTCTGCCGCATGCGGCTGGTTGCGGCTCCGCCGCCTGGCAACGTTCCTCGACACACTGGCGCCTCTGGCGCAAGGAGTTGCAGGGAAAACAGGATACGGGAGCTGGTGGGCTTGGCCCGGTCGGTTAGCATGCAATGTCGCATTTCGTTTCTTACTGCATCGGCTTCACCTGCGAGCCCAGAGGCCCTCCATGGGGCCTGGGCGCTGGTGGCCCCCGCATCTCTTCATCCGAAACTTGCTTCATGCAGCTGGTTCCAGCCCCGCCGGCGGGCCTCTTCTCGGAGGCCTCGAGGGTAGAGTATGACACCCCGAAGCGGCCGAAACATGACCACCATCACCAAACAGCTCTAGAATCATCTTCTCCCAGTGGAGACAAGCCCTGTGTTGATGTTGGTGCCCATTTCCCAGAGGAGGACGAGTTGAGACAACGCTAGTTGGCCTTCGGGGCCCCCCTCGCTGCCGCGGCTAGACGCAGCTCGGACAAGTGGTGCGTTTGGACCTTGGGACGGGTCCAGGGATCGATTTGGAGCTCCCGTTGTCTCAGCTCGTCCTGCTCCGAATTTCCAGGCCTCCACCTTTCGTCCGGCCCGAGAGGCGATCCCCGAGGAGGTGTCCCACATAGACGGGCTCGAGAGGCTCTTCCTGAACGGCAACTTCCTGCGCTCGCTGCCACCCGAGGTCGGCGCTCTGCCGGCGCTGGAGCAGCTGTGCGTGGACGCCAACCTCCTGCGGACGCTGCCCGCGCTCCTCTCCCCCAAGCTTAACCTAATCGCAGACATCCGACATCTGTCGTTGGGGCTCGAGGTATACCCAGTCATGCCCGCGTGGTCAAACAATCAGGGCCAGGGTTTTTCTTCTTGTTCGGCCACAGGCGACCCTTGCCGGGCACCAGGACCGTCAATCAGGATGACAAGCCTGTCCTGAGGAATGGGTCGGGACTTGCGGGGATCGCGTACTTACAATATTGCAGACGTCCGACATTTTCTCAGAGGGCGCGAAGGTACTTATATTGCTACCCTTGCTTCGTTTTCTCCTTGTTGAGCCTCCTGGGAGGCCCTCGTCGCCACCGCTGGATCCGCCTCGAAATCCTGGTCAGAGCTCACCCCGGGAGAAGTCTGGGGAGTAGCCGTATCGTCACCGTGTGGTTCCCCCTGACTTGCTGAACGCCCACGCACCCATACCCATTGTGACGGCGGGAGCTGAACGCCCACTGGGACGGAGGGAGCTGTGGATGCGTGTTGTCGGATGGTGCTCCCCCGCTCGAACGGGAGCCCCACCCCGGGGCCGACGGCCCGCACCCACTCGCAAAGCCGGTGCTCATTCCTTGCTTTCCTTCGGACACGCCCGTGGGTGTATGGGCGTGTGCTTTGTGGGCCCCGGAAGCGGCAGGGCCGTTTTTTTTCACCGTTTCCAAAAACAGCGACGGAACCGGTAAAAACACGGCGTCGGAACCGGTAACAAAACGGCGAAACGGAACTGGTGACAAAAACTGCCCTGTCGTTTCCAGGGCCCACTAGGGGCGTGTGTTGTTCATGCATCGGGTCCTGAAGCAAACGACACCCCTGCGGCAGAACGCCCGAAACAGCTCGACGCAGTTCCGCGAGGGGGGGCCGCAGATCTCGGGGGCCCGACCTCCCTCACCCAGCGAAGGAGAAACCACACGGAGGTTTGACGGCCAAGCTGATTCGGGAGTCTGGCCTGAAGTCCGGCCTGTGCCTCTGCAGGAGGAAGGTTCAAACATAGTCAAAAGATAGTCTGGGGACGGTGTTTTGAGATTTTTTCTGATTTTTGGAACATGTTTTGGGTATTTGAAGGCTGCCGCCTCTGCCGCCGACCCCAAGCAAGGTGGGTGAATCACGCGGATGGCAGCATCCGTGCCATGACGTCGTCAAGCAGTGTGCCGCGACGGCGAATGATGTCGGCATGCGGCGCGAGAGGCCCGCATAGCAGACCCATGATTTCTGATGGAACCGCAAGAACGCTTTGTTGAAAACTGAGGTTGCTAAATCATGTGTTTTGTCAGTGTGTTGTGGATATGTTGCGCAATCGCTACGTTTCTGAAGGATGTCGGCATGCGCGCGCGACGACGCGCGCGCGCGCGCTGCGCCCTTTTTTTCCAAAGCGTTCCGCGCGCAGTTGGCGACAGCATTCGCGGTGGTCTCCGATGACTGGGATCGAATGAGCCAGCTTGAATGCCCCCGATTACTATCATGTGCTATACTTGATCTCTTCCGCCTCTTGCTTGTCCGCCTCCTCCTCCTCCTCCTCCTTCTCCTCATCTCCCATTCAGTGTCGTTGCAGCGGCCCAGTGGAGCTTCAGGATCGCACTCGCGTATGTTCCTCGCTACCACCCACCCACCGCAGCTCGAGGGGGGGGGGGGGGCTCGGGCTGGCAGGGCCGAGTTTAAAGCAGTCCGAACCTGACGAACCCACTTTTTCCTCTACCGGCCGCCCCATGCATGCAGCGGTCCGAACGTCGGCCGTCTGGCCCTCCAAGGAAAAATGAGGAGGAGCGAGGAGGAGGAGGAGGAGGAGGAGGAGGAGGAGGAGGAGGAGTGGGGGAGGAAGAGGAGGAGGAGGAGGAGGAGGAGGAGGAGGAGGAGGAGGAAAAGTGGGAGGAGGCGGAGAAGGAAGGAAACATCGAGGGGCGAAGGGGTTGCCATTTCCTCCGCGGCCGAAGGCGGCGGCAGGGCGGCTGAAGCTGGCGGAAACGAAAGATGCGCCCCCAAGAGACGATGTTGTTTTGTTTGGTTTCGGCTTTCCCGGAATAGCTCCTGTAGCCTTCTAGACCGGGTTTGCGCTTCGAGCCGTCTTTTGGTCGCTCCGGGCCCAGACCCAGACCCCGACGTCACGATTTGTTCATGACGCGTTTCGGGCCCTTTGTGGCATCTTCCTCCTCCTCCTCCTCCTCATCATCATAATCATCATCGTTTCCTCGTCATCATCACCAGCATTTTCAACAATGACATCATCATCGTTACCATCGTCACCATCGTACTCTTCATCCTCATCCTCATACCCCTCCTCGCCACAATCACCACGACCACCATCATCACCATCATGGGGAATCAAGAGAAAGGACAGGGCGTTCAGGAAAACGAGAAAGGGAGGAGAACTTGTAGCCGACGTCGTCGCGAGCGTTTCTGGACATCATCATCATCACCGTCATCATGACCACCATCCTCTGCGTCCATCGTCACCTTCGTGACCACCATCGACCACCATCGTCACCAGCATCATCATCACCGCGACCGTGATCCGAATCATCGCACCATCATCATCAAGCCGTAGAAACTTCGACCATTTCCCCAGGACCGCATTTTCATCCTGGAGTCGGTCATGCGCCCGAGGCCCAGGTAAAAAACTTCCAGAGGTCGCAAAGAGAGAAAACGGGCCGTCATGAGTTCTACGAGTCGGGGAGGTCGGGTCTGGCCATGTGAGCGGGCGCACGGTCGCCATGCAGTCATGCCGTCGGGCGCCGCGCTGGCCACGTCGCGGGCGGTGCAGGGAGCGCCCTTGCCGCACCCGCCGCGTGATGGAGCGTGGTGGTGGGCGAATGGTGATGGTGATTGTGGTGGTGGACAAAATTATGTTGATGATAACGATGATGGTGATGATGATGATGATGATGCAGAGGACGCGGGTGATCATAATGATGGTGATGCAGATGGTGATGATGTTGATGGAAGTGATGTGGATTATGCAAATGGTGATGGTGATGTTGGTGGTTGCGGTGGTGCTGATGATGATGGTAATGGCGATGCGGACAATGATGGCAATGGGTATGCGGATAGTGATGATGAGGGCGATGATGATGACGATGGTGCTGATGGTGATGGTGATTGTGATGGTGATGACGTGGATAGTGGTGACGATCATAATGATGATGGTAATGGTGAATGTGGTGGTGGTGGTGCTGGTGGTGATTGTGACGGTGGTGACGTTGGTACTGATGATGATGATGACGCTTGTGTTGGCTACGATGATGATGGTGACTGTGATGATGATGGAGATAACGATTGCGGCGGTGGCGATGCAGCTGGTGGCGGCGGTGTTGAGAGGGGCGGTGATGGCGACGTGATGGTGATGGTGATTGTGGTGGCCATGGTGACGGTGACGATGGTGATGAGGGTGTTGACTTTGTTGTTGGTGGTTGTGGCAATGATGCTGGTGTCGTTGGCGGCAGTGATGGTAGCAGTGCTGATATGCTGTCGCAGCTGGTGTAGACGGCATGGAGATGATGATGGCGATGGTGGTGGCGACGAAGGTAAGGACGGCGATGATGCCGATGATGGTGATGAGCGAGCGTGCCAGGGCATCAATCCTGGGGACACCTGCCCGCGGCGTCCAGCGTCGAGGAGGACCAACGCAGGCCGCTGCAGCTCGTCTTCACTGTTGGGCCAGCTCGCTTCTACATGCGGGGCCAACAAGGGAGAGCAGGTCGTGCACCTGCGCGCTCGCGCAGCGTTGCCTCATCTCCCGCCCTCCTTCTCGGCCATCGTGCCCCGCGTGTTCGAGGGCCCCGAAGCGGCGCTGCAGCGCGGTCGGACCGCGTTTAAAGACCGAGGTTCATTCGGGGATGGCGCCCCAACGTTAGTCGTTATTTTGCTATGGTTTTGCCCTTATTGGGGGGCGGGGGGGGGCGCCCTCGAATGATATGATAGTTTAGGGCGTTGTGTCTGGCGCGGGATCTCGTGTTCTTCGATGGCGCTCTTCGTTCCGGAGGCGTGCGCTCATGCGTTTCGCGCGTGGGCTCGATCTTGGAGTGCTCTTCGCTCGGGGCGCCCCCGTCGGGCCTCGGGCCGTTGGCGAGGGGGCTGGTGTTCTTGATCGCGTTCGTGAGGCCGCGTTTTGGTTGCGTCTCTTGATTCAGTGGCCGCGCGGCCCCTCTGCCGCGTCGGCGCCCCCGTGGCGCCGCGAGCGCCGAAGGCCCTCCTGGTGGCCGCGATGCGATGGCGGAACGGCGACGGTTTCCAGGGTGATTCCGCGAGGCTTTCGAGGGGGCAAAACAGATGACGCGGGGCGGAGGGTCACCTGCGCCACCGCCCCCTTTCCTCGCCTGCTTTTCCCCCACCGCTTCGCCCCTGGGAGGGCAGTCGATTCGGGCACGCGTGCCGATGCTTATGCCTTCTCGGGTCGCTTGGGCTGGATTTGCGTAGAAATCTTAATCGGGAACCGCCGTGCGAGAGTTCCGTGAGATAGGCGGCGTCGGCGCGCCGTGCCCTGCAATTCCCGGGCAAGAGCGGGGGGGCGCAGGGTGTGTCGCGGGCGCGGGCTGAACGCCGACGAGACACGACAACCGGACGTAGTTTGGACGAGGGTGAACCCATTCCAGAGCGTCTTGGAACGCTATCAGAAAGCTCTGGAACGCTCCGAGAGCGCCGAGATTCCCACAACATGTTCGATTGCCGCATGGGGGCGCGTGGGGCGCGAGGGCGGGGGGGGGCGGAGGGGGGGTGGGGGGCGGGGGGCGAGGGGGGGGCAGAGGGGGGGGGGGCGGGGGGGGAGATGGAGGAGGGGGGGGGAACGAGGAATATATCCGACAAGGAGAGCCGGGAGGAGGAAGAGGCAATGATGGGGAGGGGCAGAAGGAGGGTGGACGGGGGGGGGGAGGAGGAGGAAGAGGAGGGGGAAGAGGGGGGGGGGCGCGGGTAGCTGGATTCCGCAACGCGTGCAAACAGCAACGTTTCTCTCATCGCGGCCCGGTCCGCGTGGCTCTCCGTCTCCAAGAGGCGGGGCGAGGGCGCGCAGATGACCGCGCGGCGCGCGGCCCGCGGCGCGACGCGCGAGGGCCGTCCGGCGGCGCGGGCTCTGGAAGGCTTGCGGGGCCCCCCCGCGGCTCCGCAGAAACGCCCATCGGGAGGCCCAGACTTGGGGCGAGCGAAGTGGGCGCGGACAAATGGGTGCAAAGACCGACGGCAGTCCCTGTTCAGTTTGAACAGGACTCGCCGCCGGTGTCGCCGCGGACGTTGCCCATTTGAGACGCAAGGCCGCCTGC